AGGATGCTATCTAAATTTTTTACTAAATCTGAATATCTTGCTATATTTTTTACCTGTTCCGATATTGTTTAGCTTTGAGGTCTTCTAGTGGAGCTCAATTGAACCCACTCTACCTCATGCTGACAATAATAGTGTCATTCAAATTGCTGTTAATCCTGCATTTCATGAGCGCTCCAAACACATTGAAGTGAATTGGCACTCTATTCGTGAAGCTTATTAGGGTCGCATTATTACTCTTCCATATATCACCACTGATGTTTAAATTACAGATGTGCTTACCGAGACAATGACTTGATAGTGACTCAATTACTTGTTAGAAAATTAATGCTTCTTGATTGTCCGGCATCAATTTTGAGAGGGATGTCAATAAGATCACGAAGAGTAAGGGTTGATAATTATAATATCATATTTATGTCTATAAATTGTATTTTAGGTTATAATTTTGATTTATCATAATTAGATAGATGCCCCAACTATAAAGCAAGTACTGAAATGAGGGAGCGTATAGAACAAACAAGCATAGCAAATCGTTGGTTGGAAAAGAAGACCTCTGGAAGTAAACTATTAAGATAGATAGCGGAGCTTTCGTAGTACATCAATCGATAGTACCAACTGAGGCTTCCAAGCCAACTTGATGAGCTTGCGAAAGGATGAATGAGCGTGGGGTTGTGCAGCAAGGGCATACCCTTTTCGGGTACTACATCTGTAAACACAATTATCTTCAACCAAATTTGACCTTGCACAATTTTATGTATGTAATATTAAGGCTATATATTGGCAAGTATCCCTCACGGGAAGAGTAGTTTGGCCAAAAGATTGTTATTTCTGTCTGTACTTCCTCCAACTGTAGCCATTGACCACTTGAAAACCCGCAAGTGCACGGAATTGTGATCAAGTAATATAATGGTGAATTAAGTTTCAAACTCACAAGGACTATGTATTTGATTAAGTTAAAACTTTTACTACCCTTAATCAAACATCAATAAGGGGTTGTCACAATTAATGTCTAATTTATCAACTAACTCGAAAGCAAGTTTTTATCAAATTTTGAGATGTATTGTTAAGATGTGGAATCCTCCCTTACTAATTCATTTTTAGTTCAACAATTGAAAGTGACAATTTGAGATTATTCTTGATGGTCAATGTTCCTATTTTAGTTAAGAATTTCTCTTAATAGCAATTAAATCTAATCCTACATATGATTTTGATTTTCCTATATTTCTATGAAAGATATGAACGTGCAAGAAAGCATTAACCGACCTAAAACATCTATAGAAACCATGTGAAGTATAGAGATATATCTATATTCTCTATCGAACCTTACAATGCTTATCACCATATGCTAATAACCCTACTATCTCTCTCGATGACAATAAAACCCCACAAACAAATCAACTAATGGCCAATTCATTCAAAAGCAAACTAAACAATAATAAACATCCATTCATTCAAACAAATTGACGTCAATCCAATTATTTAAACCAGAATCTTATAACAAGAGTTCATCTCAGACTAACAATGTAAAAATCTAGATGCGCATGTTGACATTATAAGAAATCATTAGAAGTTTAATAAACATCGCCCGAAAATTAAATAATTGAAGAGAAACGATGGATTCTTGATAGCTATTGAATTTTACTCCCAATCCTTACGTAAATTTCATAGTATGAAGTCTCCTTGATAATTTTCTTTTAATTCTTTGGTTGAACTCACAAATTTGGCTTTTGCTCTCTTCTTCAATATTGTTCTCTCAAAATTTTCAAGTTCTTGAGTTGTTTTGTTGAATAAAGAAGCCCTCTAATGTATATGAGACATTCTGATATTTATATGGCTCAAATCTAGGTTAAAGATATCGTCCAAAGCCTTGTCAAATTGAATTTTGATGGTATAAGGAAACCTCGAATTTGACATATTTTTATAACTATGTGACCATATAGTTCATCGTGTAGCGGCCGCATAGTTCAAGTGTGATGCTTCAATGTTTTTTCTGCAAGGCACCATGCGACCGCATGGTAAGTCATACTATACTACTACATAGTACAATTTTTAGCTATGTTCTTCATTTTTCACATTTTAGTCCTCATATTGTGAGCTCGTATCTTCCCTCCTTTTTGCCTATAGTTTTGCCCTCTTAGCCTCCAAATGCATCCAATTGATCCCCTAGCATCTTCAATCTTCAAGTCCAATTCAACTATTGGATTATTGCAACTTGATCCCTAACTTTTAGATTTCACTCTTTTTCTGGGTTTTCTTTTTGTTTCGTCGAATTCTTTGTTCAACCATTAAGTTTTACCTCCATAACATAAAACATAACAATTCAGGATATATTTTGCCAAAAATAACTACTAATTATCGTTTTTTTAGGCTCAAAATAAGTATATAAAATACACTTATCAGCCATCACCATGTCCTACTCAGATCTCTGGATCTTCTTGAACTTTCTATGTCTAGCTAGGCATTGCCTATCTGCAAGGTTGCAACATATACATCAATTAACCTTCAAAATAGATAGAACTAAATAGGATCATCATTGTCCATATACAATGCACTTTTTACTATTATCGTAAATTAAAACATCATTCTTTTTATAAGTCGTATGTAATAAGGTTGAGATAACCTTTTCTTAGAATCATTTTGGCATCTTGATCCTTAAACTCGAGATCGGAACCATCTCTACTAATTTCCTTCTTATGTCCCTGCCTTCGAGTTTATACTAAACTGTCTTTTCAGATTAAGGAATCTTGTTCTCTGTTCCATTACGAAGTTTATGTTAGGAACCATGTCTTTGCCTTTTCATCCTATCACATTAATTAGTTCTTTGCAACATGGAGTATGAATATGATGATTTTAATGACGATCTTAACATAGAAAGAGTAGCATTGAATTGATTGTTTTTCCAATGAGTTGGCTGGATAGTGGATGTTTTTGTCATAATGCACAAACTGCGCTAAAAAATTGACAGTCTTATCTGCACATTACTACCCTTTCTTGCATATTTGCTGCTCTTGGTAGATTTTATTTGAATAAAAATCATGCTTGGGGTGGTAATACACATAAAACATTACCATTTTCCTTTTTGATTCATAACATTCCAATGAAACAAGAATATCAAGCTGCCTTCTGATCACCTCTCTGGTAAGTTAAGAATTTAATTGTAAATTATAAGAGATCACCGACCAAACAGGATGTCTGACTCATCATTTGTACACAGCTCGTTGTTGAGAATTAGAAATTTTAATTCTATTCCACTGAGAACAATAAAGCAGAGAGAAATAAAGACACGCAAAATTTATAAAGATTCAACTTAATGTCACACTATATCCTCTTTCACCACAACAGTAATTCAAAAAATTTTACAAGAATAAATCCCACACCCTATGTTCGGTAACCTTTTCTCTCTCTTCATGATAATACAAAATCCTAATGACAGCTCTACGCAGTGACAATAATTAGGCTCCACAACTTAACACTTCTTGTGCTATATCACACTTTACTGATACTGATTGCTTAAATAACAGCACCTCAAATTTTCAGGTGCTGGAAGCACAATTATCTGCTAATTGTGCTTAGTTGCAGTGTATTGAGGATCTACTTTTGGTGTTGATTACTAATAAGTTGCAACACATATTCTTTTTGCACCTAATGATGAGAATGCTCATAGCTGAAGTGATTGTGTTACAATAGCAACCGTGCCTGGGCCAACCCCTTCTAGTGTTTCCTCTTTTGGTAGAAAAATATGATCTGACTGAAGAGATTTATGCACTTTCTCCACTCAAACCTCGAAGCAACGAACTAGGCAGAACCGTTCCTCTAAGCTATCATGCTTTCTGGATGTCCTGTTGAAAAGAGAATAGTAATAATATGATTCTAATATGGATACTTGTTTCATGCTTTTTGGTATTCATCGATCTATATTTTCTCTGTGGAAGGATGTTTTTGTGCTTGTAGGTATTAGTACGATAGTCATCTTCAACTTGCATACTTCCTCAGGCTTAATGTATGGTGTTTGGCCAAAATAAGCATTTTTAAGCACATTGTCAAGTCCTAAGAGTCTGTAAAGGTCAAGTTTGAGGAATCCAAAGAGTTATAATATGATTATAGCACGTTTTACCATGTTTTATGGGTCATGTAAGTCAGTCTAGGGTGCATCTGTCGCCTGAGACCTTTGATGAAGATCAAGATTGAAGAAATTTTTAAAAAGCTAAGTGTATAGGTTTTTTTTTTCATAGGTGCTGCCAGATTCTCAAACTTTTTTTTGCCAACTGCCAATCAAGTGGAATTCTGTGAAACTTCTGTGAAGAAAACCCCGTATGTGTAGCATTGCTCAAGAAATTTAGAGTTATTAAAACCTCTTAAATGTGAATATATCTATTACAAGCGGGCAATTCCTTATCCTACATTAGTTTAAGAGGTTTGGAAGCTTGTGCGAAAAGAATCATCAGTCTCTAAAATTGTAAAATTATTGATGTTTTTCTAAGCATTGTTTTCTTTCTTTTGGTTGAATTGTTTCACAATGCTCAGACAGAGGCTTTTGGTCTAGGATTCTTGATTCTAAACTTCGATTATATTGTGTTGGCTATCTTTTGTATTCTTTCGAGAGAATAATTCTTATAGCTTGAAGAGTCTCCAACAATTTGAGCCTAACAAAAGCTGAGTTATGTTTGCTGAACAAGTCCGGAAGTAGTTCCATACAAACATGAACAAAAATAAAGGGGGAATCTTTATTTTCCTAGGAGCCTAATTATAAATTGTTCAATAATTGGGTGTACTGCGATTCTAGGCAGTTGTCGTGGTTTGCTCTAGCTATACTTGTCACTAATATTTATGCTTAACGAATCACTTTATTTGAACAATCAGAACATTCAAATTGCAGTAGGAAATTAATTTGATCCATCTTAAAAGGGAAAAGATCATTGAAGTACTTACTCGAGATTTAAAAACTGACTCATGTTATTATTATTATTTTATTAAAAAATGGTTTTAATTATTGCATTAAATAATACTTATAAGAGAACTTTCAATATAAGATTGTTGGAACAAGGAACCACAAATGACTATTTTATTAGAGAGCTCACTAAATTGTTAAACTGCAATATTTTCAATGATTAAACACTTGCTCGAATCAGTTCCCAAACAACTACTTTTTTGATCTTGAGCATGTGTAGAAACCTTTGACTATACCTTTACTGAGTGCTCTAAAACAAAGAAAACTTTCTTAAGATAGGATTAATGAGGAAAATTGCTTGATGTAGCTCAAATTTATTCTCTCTCTCTCTCTAGAAATATCTGAAGATCATGGAAAATATTTAGGATTATCAAAGGGAAAGTTTGAGTCAAGATCCAGCTGACCAAATGGGAAGTCTATACCAATATTTTGGGCATTGGATTCTGAGGTTCGCATATTGGAGCTACTTCCATGATCCCCCTCCATAAGTGAAGGCAAATACGAGAAAAAGTGAGGCTCCGATGACATAAACGAGGGGGAATAAATGTTAGTGTCCATCATTGCAGCTGAAAAAACATCGTCTTGAGGATTAATTCTTGATGATGATGGAGAAGGGTTGGTGTTAAGTGGCTGAAATGTTTCAGGTGTGTCTAAATCTTTTGTTTGGAAATCCAAGAGTTGTGCCTGGTTTTGCTGACGATTTTCTGCCATGTTTGGTTCTTGATCTATTGATGTTTTTGGACTCGTATTTGTCCCTTGGGTGCAAGTGTGCATTCCTTTGCATGCTACTTCCAAGATAGTTGGGTCCTGGTCGGATCTTTGAACTTGCTTCGTAGCCAAACAGCCCTGGGAGTGTCGATGCGTGCATCTATAATAGCCTCTGTCCATAATAGAAAGAGTGAGTCGAATATTGCAAATTTTGTCACGCAGGAGTATGACTAGACAACACAATGTACGTACTGTGATAGATACTTGTAATTTTCAAATTAAATAATTCGTAGCAATTTTAATATAAAGAAAAATAATAAAGGAAAAAAGGACAGCCAAGGGGTCAAATTTTGGGTAGGTGAGGAGAAATTTCTTTACAAGATTTTCTAGAAGTAAAATTAGTGAGAAAAATAGTACTACCACAAGCAGTTAGAAAATTCCAAGTAATTAAAGTCTGTCCAAATCTTTTTAATTTGACCAGTTGACCGATCATTTTTATAGGAAGGAGATGGAGATTGTAGAAAATTATTTGATCAATTGCCAATTTATTTATATCGTACAAGTGTTCGAAAGTGATTGAAAGTCAAAAAGGAAACTTCACTCGATGGCGACAATGAATTATGAATATGTCTAGCTAGGGTGATTAAGTGTAACTCTTTAGATTAATTCTTACATTAATTGTACACCCTAAATGAGCTGAGTTTGATTTTGTGCACCTTTAGTTGAAGTTAAACCGAGGTTTTTATTTAATAGATTAAACTTTTAAATGATGTGATTAGACTAGAAGTACGATCAAGTCGTCTAGAAAATTTTGTACCTCGGATGATTGGCTCCTAGGATGTATTTTTGTCCGTACTTCCTCCAACTGTAGCCATCACCATGTCCTTCTACTCCGGTCGCTGGATCTATTTGAACTTTCTGTGTCCACCGAGGCATTGCCTTTCTGTAAAGTTGCAACATAAACATCAATTAAGCTTTAAGATAGAAAGAACTAAATAGGATTATCATCGTACATATAAAATACACTTCTTACCATCATCGTAAATTAATACAGTATTGTTTGGATAAATCATACACAAAAAGGTTGAGCTAACCTTTTCTTAGAACCCTCTTTGGCGTCTTGATCCTTAAACTCGTGATCAGAACCATCGCTACGAGGACTGCCACTGAGGGACCTTGGAGAGTCCAAGGTTCCAATCCTTAACCCTCCCTGTTGTGTCTCCCCAGACGTGCCACTATATTTCAGCATAGACAACGCTTGATCATAGGAATTAAGAATCCTGTCGATTAAAACTTCGCGAGTTTTATGGGAAGAAGATAAGACGTTGAGATGAATTTGCAGCTGTTTTGCCAACTCTCTGCCTTCTGTTAGTTCATTCAGCAGGTTTTTGATGTCGATATTCTCCATTTCATAAACCAGAAAAAGGAAATATATAACTGGAACAAGTTTTTGCTCAAATAGAAACGGGACTACATTCTTAATTAATTGTGTTTTACATTTTTATGGGCTTGTTAAGGTAGGTAGTTATATACTACGAAGTCTTTGTTTGAACGGTGAAAATCGAGGGAAAGAGACAAGGTGGGAAGTTTGACTGAGAAAATTCAAATTAAACAAGTGAAATTTCTCTTTATTCTTTATGCAAGACCAGTCTTTGCTCGTAGGAATTGTAATGAAGCAAGTCAGTCAATATATTGACTTGTTCAATGGCCCACGCCCCACTACTACCCTGAAAATGAAAATAATAATGAAAACGGAATATTTTCCTTACGGTGTCCCGATATCATAGTAGTTTCCCTGAAAATCATAGTAGTTGCCCAACTTTTAGAGTACTTTTAAAACTATCTAACTTATTTAGAAATTAATAAAAGACAATTATAAATGGTTCATGAATGTTAAGACGTTAGTATTTAGTATATTATTTAATGTTTACCTCGCTAACAAGATTGGTTAATCTCATGGGTAACTTACGTGACTTGATTGTGAACATTAATTATCTCAAAGAAAAAAAAAGGGGAACCGACTCTTTGTACACATTTCAACCAGAATGAATATGACGCAACAATAAAACATAGATATTATTCACCAAAACAACTTTTTTCATAAAAAGGTTATTTAAGTTGGACAATTAATGCCATACTTATGTCACGTAAAAATATAGCGAGTCACACTTATGTAATCGTTCATTTGAACTCACATATCATGTTTCAATTCTTTTCTATGTTTAATTACTTATAATAATAAATTAAAACTAGTGTCGGAAAAAATTCTAATAAAATAAATATAATTTGTCCTCTTTTTAACCCATGTACATGAATCATATTTGATGAAGTATAAATCACGTGATGTAGAAAATTGATTATGTTATGGATTGAGTAGCAATGACCAAAGAATTTTCAAACCTCGTTCCGCGTTGCTAACACTTAAAGTATACTAAATCAAAACTATACTAATTACTAGGATTTAATTTAATCTCATGACTTCAAGTTGACGTTGGCATCAGGTAGACCCTTAACGTACGTTGATGTTCTTAGAATTAGTAGACCAAATCAAATACTAACTATTTTGACTGAAATTATTGAAAAGATGCATTAAATATTTCTATTTTGATTATTTGTTACACACCATTAGTAATTAATTGTATAACATAATTACAAACTACTGCGCCTACACTTCCTATCATGTATTGAGAAATTAAAACATAATATCACCAGGAACGGTTGACAAGAAAATTCAAGGAATACAATTTTGTAGGTGGGGAAAGCTTGACAATAACTCGAGTCAAACTCGAACAAAAAATCCACATTAGATTTCGAGTCGAGTGTTCATGCTCTCCTTAAAACAATATTTGTCCTTAACCTGTTGAGTTCACAAGGAAATCAAATTAACGTCCTAGGATACAATGTAATGCTTAGTGTTTGTGCACTTAACAACGAGAAATCAAGCACAAAAGATGTACAAAAAACTATAAGAGACTCTTTGTAATCCAATTATGCA